TATTTATTTTATTTATTTTTTATTTATTTATTTATATTTATATAAAAACTTACACCTGACTTATTATTTAACATATTTACAACTGAGATGCCTTCTTTTACATTCAATTTCTTTAATTCAGGTACTTTGGTCTTGTGAGAATTAAGATATCTTTTAAGATTTAATATCATTCCATGCTGGTATACTAATTTTTGATTACAAATCTCACAAATTGCGTAGTTTTCTTCTTTTTTTTTTGAAGTATTTCTATATAAAAGATCTATAAAATATACTATTAATACAATATATAGTATTAAATAATATATTAAACAATTATAATATTTTAATTACCTGGTATGTGTAGAATTACTGCTATTTGACTTTTGTACTTGCGATGATTCACTAACTTCAGATTCATCTAATTGTAACTCTAGTTTATATGCTTTCTTATACATTGGTTCATACTTTTTCTCATATATTGGTTCATGCTCTTCCTCATACATTAGTTCATACTCTTTCTTATACATTGGTTCATACTCTTCTCCATGCATAGATTCATAATCTTCCTCATAAGAAGATATAGACAGAGTTGGTATTACAATGTTCTTGTTTTAAAAAAAAAAATCATAAGACAAAAAAAAAAAAAAAGGATCTATTTAAAAGGATCGTATAAGACTTATTTAATAAGATTGTATGAAACTTATTTAAAAACTAATGTGAATCTTGTTCTAGTGTTGAAGCAAGTAACGATTTTTTTTATTATTATTTTGATCAGTATACTTATATATATTATTACTGACCAATAAGCATATAGTATAGTATCAGGTATTCAATTCGAACCCCTATATGAATCTGAATTCGACGGATCTTATAAATCACAGATCTGGATCTAATTTGATAGGTCGAATCTGATTTAGATTTAAATCTTCAGATCAGATCTGCGGAACACTATTGTAGATACAAAAAGCTCTAGCAGGTTTATCTCAAGAATAAAAAGTTTCCTATAGATAAGATCCTGCATTAAAATTCTAAGTTGGTATCTAAAATAAGATAGTATATAGTATTTTCACTTGATTAATAGAATAATCATATAGGCACAAAGAGTTTAAATAGATAACTCCCTAGTTGAGTTATAGATATATATAATATCTAGTATAAAACTTAGTAATAAGCAAACTACTTAAATAGATAACCAAAAGTTGTATGTGTGACTAGTTGTATTCTTCAAATATGTATATGATATAAAAATTATACTATAAAAATTATAACTATAATCAAATAAAAAAAACATAACCGAGAAGTAATCTTAACATCAAAAAAAAAAATAAAAATAATAAAAACATATAATAGATGCAAAACTACTATAAATACATTTATAATAATTAAATATTTTTAGTTAATAAAAATTTTTTTGTTCTATAATCTTTATTAATATATAGTCAAACTTTCATAAATGCAACGTGTACAGACTAGTCTAAAACGTGCATTTAGAGAGGTTTGTATTTAGAGAGAGCCAATCAAATTGTAGCTTTTAATATTTGATCTGCAAATTTGTGTAACAAACTTAAATACTGACTTCTGATTGGCTACGTGCATTTAGAGAGATTAGTATGATATAAAAAATCTTTTGAGTGAACGTGCATTTGCAGAATATAGAACATGTATTTAGCACTAATGATTTTATACAGCCAAGAGAAAAACGTGCATTTAGAGAGGTATTGCATTTATGAAGGTTGTATTTAGAAAGTCTGACTGTATAAGTTATTATATATATTTAAAGAGTATATCACTAGTCAAGTATAAGAAAATTAATAACTATCAAATATTTTACTAATATTATACTGAATAATAAAGTAAATCAATAGCAAAAATTTTTAAAAAACTCTTTTCAATTCATCTTCAAAATTTTTAACAAAAACAAAATTTTTATACAATACAACTTCATTTTAGTTCAAAAACTAAAAAGGGTCAAAGCTTTTATTTCAAAAAAATATAAACAACTGTTATTAAATATAAGCAAGTTACAATACAAGAAAGTTAAGCTAGATAATAGCAAAGATAAATTTTTAACCTTCTTGAAGTAGAAGCAAATAACATTAAAAAATAGAAAAACTTAGAACAATATATAAAGTCTTAATTGAAAGAGTCTACAGTTAACTATAAAATTATAATATCTGTATTAACAAGTAAAAACTAGATCAGTTCAACTAAAGAAGAAAAATTTGTCTAAAAAAATAGCAGAAACAATAATAGCCTCTTAAAAATCAGAAAATATGTGAAATATATTCTGAAAATATAAATACAACAAATCATATATTAAAAGTAAACAATAAACAAGATGAATTATATGTATTAAACAATAACCAATCAGAAACTTCAACTCACAGAAATGCAAATACTCTCAAATCAGACAATTCTAAAAGAATTCACAATTTAGATTCAAAGCCAAAAAGTAGACTAATCTTTTGCTAAGCTCAAAAGAAAAAAAAGCAGTATATATCAAATCTATTTCTAGATAACAAATTCATTTTAAAAATAAAAATGCTTTTATTTTTGATATACAAGATCTAAACAATATTGATACAAATAATATAATTGCAGCTTTAGCTGTCTTTTTAGATAAAAACTTAATTGTAGCAAAAATATATATGTTAAGAGAAAAAAAAAGCTTTTTCAAAAATTATATTAAAAAACAAAGAGAAGACTCAACATTATGTAGCTAAAAAGATCTTACTGTTTAAACAAACCTTCTTTTGCTATATTTCTATCAACTTTAATTATTCTTTTTTTACTATCAAACTTAAAAATATCTTAATAAAAGATATCAATTATATTTTAGTTTAGACCGCAGATAAATTAGTCTAAGTTTCTTTTCTTGCTATCTTAGAATATAAAATTTAAATAAATTCTTTTCCTTGTAAGGATTTTCTTTCATTATAGAAGAATTAAATTAAATTTTAATAAAGTCAGAGACATGGTCTTACCATTAATATTCAAAAAAAAAAAGATATCAATTATATTAATGACAATATCTTACTAGCTTTTTGAGATATTAGACAAATAGCTTAAATAGTTTTGATTAAACTTTTTCTTTTTGAAGACATCTTGATCTGTATTGATCAATAGCTAATTATTTTTGAAACTACAGAAAACCTAGAGTTAGCATCATAAATACCAAGAAGCACTTATATTAGTAATTATAGAATTTTTACAGAATAAAAGAAAGCATCTAAAGCCTGCTTTTATTGTGATAAAGAAAGTTATATTAAAAGAGACTATAAAGAGTTAAAAGTTTTGATAGAGACAAGAAGACTCTTGAAAAAGACTAAAGAACAAAGAGAGAAACTAAAGTTATGATTTTTAATTCTTCAAAATTGTTTTTAGCTAAGACAATTTATATATCAATCAAGAAACTATAAATAATAACCTAGTTACAGAATTAACTGAAGTATTCTTAAAAGACTAGTTATTAAAAATTTTAGAAAATACTCTGTAAATGCTTTTGACTTGGCAAAAGAAATAGTGACAGAATCTGTAGTTTCTATTAATTTTACAAATTCATTATTCCAAATAGAAATAAAACCTCAAGATGATCTAACAGCTCCCAATACTACTAATATAACTAATAATAATACACCTTTTATCACAGTAGTATCTAAAAAACAAAAAGCAAAAAAAAGATATATATCCAATCAGAAAAATCAATACTAAAAAAATCTATCTTTAGTATAGCCTCTTTTTATATAATTTTAATGATTAAAATTATCAAGAGTCTGAATAGCAAATTCAAAATACAAAAAATATTTATACTTTTAAAATCATACAAATTAAACATCATAATAATTCAAGAAACAAATTTAAAAAATTTAAATACAAAAAAATTTCTCTCTTAACAATAGGTTTTGACTCAATTTAGATATTCAAAGTGGTTATTCTTGCAAAAAAAAGAAATATTAAACTTATTGATAACAAAATTACTCAAAATAATTAAGTAGTTTTAGTCTAAATTACAATCAAATAATAGTTTTTCTTATTACAAATGTTTATACTCTACACAATATTGAAGAAAAAATTAATTTCTTTAACAGAATTAGTCAAGTTATTTTTTAGAATAATCACTTTAAGAATCTACTAAAAAAAACTAATAGCTGACTATATAGACACATCATTATTCTTTAAGAAAGATCTATTTCTTACCTTCTACTAAACAACTTCTGGCAACTAAAAAATAGCAACCAAACTTGACTATATTTTTATCAAGGCTAGCTATAGCTATCTCTGCATTAATACACATTAATACACTTACTCAATTTGAAAACTCTGATTATTTATTAGTAGAAATCATTTTTAATCTAAACCAAAGCACTATTACAAACCTTTTGAAAGTTTGAAAAAATACTAGAATAACTCTGAACTTAAAGATGATATTACTAAAGAACTTTAAAGTTTTTAAGACTCTCTAAAATAGGATCTATACAAATATAAAATTCAATTTCTTGTTAATATAATCAAGTCTCTTTTATTTTCAGAGAGCAATATACAAAGGTTACAAAAAAGGCTTAATTAACAACAAATTACAAAGAATCCTAATTTAGAAAATTTTAAATTAGTATTTAAAAAGATTAACTTTAAACTACAAAAAGAACTCAATTATTATCTGATAAATAGTATCTGTACTCAAAAGCTAAATAAATAAAAAAGAAAAAAAGTTAACCAAATACTTCTTCACTCTATACAAGTTCAAAAATATATCAAGTTGTAATACTAAAATCAAAAACCCAAATATTGCTAATAAGCCTATATAAGAGCAAATAATAAATTATATTAAAGACTTTTATCAAGCTCTGTATAAGAGTAAAGATATTAATAAAGAAGCAGTACTTCAGATTATAGCCAATCTAAAACAGATCTTTTCTAAACAAGATCTCTAGCTAGCCAGACCTATTACTGAAGACGTAATCAGTTTTGTCATTAACAAGCTGCTCAACAACAAGGCCCTAGGCTTAAATGATTTAATATATAAATTTTACAAAGATATCAAAGAATTTACTTTTTAATTGCTAAAATATTCAATAATATAATGACTACTAAAACAATTTCAAGCTTATGAAACAAAAGTTTTATCATATTTATTTTTAAAAAATTTAACAATTTATTTAATTTAAATCACTAAAAATATATTTCTCTGATTAATTCAGATGCAAAAAATCTTTAGCAAATAGAATAAACTCTACTATATTTGTGATAAGATTAGTAGTCTTGTACAACAGATATTTATTACAAAAAAATCAATTATTAATACTGCTTTAGATATCATTACTATTTTAAGAAACCAAAAAGATCAATTACACAATACTGGCTCCTTTAACTAAATTAATAAAAGGCTTTCAACAAAGTAAATCATAAGTTTCTAAAGCTTGTTCTAGAAAAAATGAACTTTAGCTACAAGTTTATCAATATTATTAGCTTTTTATTAGCTACCCAAAAGGCTTATATAGTAAACTTAGACTTTATTTTAGAGACTTTTAGAGTGGAAAGAGGGTCAGACATA